GGACGCGCTCAACGTCTTTGGTACTCTGGTTCACCTTTACTACACCTTTCCATTGAGTTCTATTGTTAAATATTATCATTATTATTATAATTATTATTTAATGTTATTGCAGTGACTATGCTGTTTTCTGTTCACATTACTTTGTGCTCTGAGCTAGTGCCAATCTGCCTACTACCATCCACCAGACAAGGCTGTTAGTCCCGTCAATCACTTTTCCCCAACACGACACCCCCCCCTCCACTCTCCTCTATTCCGTGTTCACTTTCACTTCCCTGTGCCTTCACAATCGGGGGTGCACATGAGGCTTTGTATCTATCTTTGTATTCCGCCGTTTTTTTACCAATTTCTCGCGTGCAGTGCCTACTACCGATGTGCCTTAATCTTCGCCAATCTCCCATCTTCCATTCGGACCGATTTCCCTATGCGCGTTCTCGTGTACACGTCCTCGGCCAGTCCCGAAACCAGTGGCCAACTCTCGCCTTGTCCCTCTGCTGTTTTTCCGCCGTTAACTCCTGCGTGCGTATGTGCCTTATCCCAATTTCCACCGTGCCTTGTCTCCTGGTTGAGTTCACGTGTTTTTCTGTAACTTTACCAGTTGTTCTGACAGTTGCACATGTTTTCCTCCTGTCACTCACTCACTCATTCTTGACCTTGCTTTTCTCGAATGATTCAATAACTCTCCCTTCCTCCCGCTGTCCCGCGATTTTCGATAACAATAGAAACGACTCGAGAATTGTGTCTGTTGTCACACACATTGGTGCATGTGAGTCTCCTTCTGGCGAATCTTTTTGTCACAGTTTGTGAATCGGGTTTGCCCCGCTTGTGCAATCGTTGCTGGCAAAAACTGCTCATATACGCTGTTCGAACTGTCAACCGGTCATCCGATTGACTTGCGTTTTACCGTAGATCATTGAAGCCCAATAAAATGACGGTGTGGACAATAAATTTATTATAAGCAAGTTTAAGTAGATTAGTTTTCGCGCGTCTATTTGACAGAAGGAACTGTCAAGGCTTTCCGGCAGCCAAAACTCGAACCACCAGGCAGCGGACTGACTACTGGGTGAGGTCCTATGACAATTAACGTGTGTATTTCACACGCGCCTGAATCTAAACTGTCACGCAAATCTTAGTACAGTAATATTTATTAAAAAAGAAAGAGTTTAAGATTTGCTTGCGGGCACGATACTGTTAGTTTGCCCACGTCAGAACAGGTGAATTTTCCGGGGATTTCACAACCGGTGCTTTCGGTTAGCCATAGTCTGACCCACAAGGCAGCGGCGGATGGTGTGTGGAGGCCGCAATCTGTTTGAGGTTCGGTGTCCACTTTATCGGACCATACGCCCTTTGGACGAGTTTAAACGTCCAAGGTGCTCCTCGATGCCCAATTAAACCGGTGATCACTATATCAACCGGGAAGGAGTGTATTTCGTACGCCTCCTCATGGGTTGTTTGAAATCAGGGATTTTTAGCTAACTTCCAATGGTTCACCGACCCGGATGTCGGCTTTTCATCCTCTCACTTTGGTGGAAAAACACCACGAGAAGGCCGTGAGTAGGGCTTCTTCAGCAAAACTGGCTATTTGAGATGCTTGGTCACGGGGTGCAAGAGTGGGGTGACCGACCATAATCTGAGACACCCACCCCGACCATACTGAGGCATTCCAACAATTAACTTGGCACATTGGTCTTCGTTGTCGTTATAGTGATCCAGTAGATTATATAAAATAGAAAATTTAGGCAGGTGAATTCAGATGAAACCGCCATAGCTCTCGGTATTTTCAACTTATCCAATTTGTACTGCTTTTTCGCATCCATGCCTTTCTTGCTAAACGATGACTGAATCTTCCCTAACTTTCTTGCATCTGGCATCCATCTACGTCAAATTCGATCACTAAAAAGATCCACTCCAACCCATTCTGAATGGATTGAGCGTATAATTCTTGCCGAACCTCCAATACTGGACAATTTCCGTCTGATCTTGATTGGTCTAGAGCCAGTGACGGTATTTATGACCTCCACTCTAGACGCTTTTTATACCGGTTCACGAATGTGCCAATCCAACAAAGTCAAAGTGTAAAGATTGGGTTACTCCAGCACCCAACCTCACCATGACTGGGGAAGTAGTAGACAAGGTAGACAAGTTTTGCTATCTGGGCAGCTATTTCTCACCTGTCGGACGCATCACAGATGAAGTGCCGGCGCGCATACAGAAGGCTCGATTAGCATTTACCAACTTGAGACATCTGTGGCGCAGTCCCGACATCCGGTTGTCTGTGAAGGGTCGAGTATATGCTGCAGCAGTTCGGTCAGTCCTGCTCTACGGTACAGAGACTTGGCCATTACGGGAACAGGATGAAAATAGGTAGTTGGTGTTCGAAGACCACTGTCTGCGCAGCATTGCACGAATCTGGTGGGGTAACCGGACGAGAAATGCTGAGGTTAGGCATAGGGTTTTAAGTAATCGAGGTCGTTCACTGGAATGAGTAGTCTACTCTCATAGATTCCGCTGGTTGGGACATATGCTACGTATGTCACCAGATAGGTTGCCTCGGCGAACGATGTTTGCCAAGGCTGGTAGCGGTTGAAAAAACGAAGGGCGGTCAGACTAAACCCTAATCAGGAGACTAGTTCACATAGGTCCCGTTAGGCTCTCTGACTGAGAACCCCGAAATGATGATTAGAGACACTGAGCGATATAGCTGGGTATAACTGTTAGATCTGTTCGGGTTCTAGGCCAAGGTTGAGTGACGCGCCAAACCAAAAGACGGAATCAAACTAGATACGATTGATTTACTAGCGTACATTAAAGGCGGTACTACAGTTAAATAATGATTACATCGCAATTACAGGTACAAACCTCAATTCGTGGCGTTCTCACAGGGAGTTCACCGAACAGTCAATCGATCTAGGCTGATACAGGTAACAGCTACTAGGGCCAATCGAGCGGACAAAACCTTCAGTGGCCGAACAAAGCGAAACTGGCGGGACGAAGTAAAGACACGAGTAATAAGGGTAGACACATGACCGACTGTCACGATGACTGTCCAGTCACAGTCGGAGCACAAGGTAAAAGGGTTCAAGTCACATTAGACGAGGGAACATGTGTCGGAGAAGATGCGTGTTTGAGGCAGGGGGACAGGGGCGCGTGTATGTGAGTGTGCATGTCTGTGGAGAGGCAATTATACGGTCACACGATCGCACATGAATTAGCAGTGGGTGCCGACATGGGGGAGGTGGGATGCCAAGTGAACAAGGAATCGAGTCAAGTGGTGCAAACGTGGGCGCCTATGTAAGCTCATGTAAGAATAAGCTACTGTGGATCGAAGTTAATTGACAAAGGCGGTGAATAAGCGACCGAGGGCAATGCAGGATGGAAACATTGGGAGGAACCGGTAAAACAGATTCAACAATAACAAACAGTGTCGCTGATGCATCTACTCATTACTCTTGTAGCATCAATCTGTATATAAATTCGCTATGTTTTACTTGAATTTGCTCTCAACATTCTAGTCTTCATCCTGCTGTTTTATCCAAAACCGGCGCACTAAAGCGTGCATGGTTGTAAGAACTGAACTAAATAAACTGCACTGTTCTGGGCTCAGAAGTCAAATGCCAATGTTGTGGCCTGCCTGTTGTTTAACTGGACAGCACGCACGCATCAATTTGCCCTTTGCCCGACTCATTTTCGGACTTGGAGCGTCATAAGTTCATCTTGGTGTAGAAAGCGCGCGGAGATTTTGACTGATTTGAGTTGTTCGTTTCTACAACGACTTCTTGGCCAAAATGTGATGCAACAGATCGAATTTGATGGGCTCAACTGCTCACGCACCCAAGAGATATGCAAGTGCTACTAAACTGTGAAAGGAATTTAGGCTAACAAAAATATCCCTCAACTATATGGGTATTTCTTCAGTGCTCATTTAACATGGACTGAAGGACATGCTTATGTCAAGATAATGCCGGTATCAAGTAGTTCTACACAATGGGCGCCTGGTATCACTGATCAGAAATCGGTTGCCGCAAACCTGATTGTTACCGATTAAATGTTGATGCAGTTAATC